TTTCATGATGATATCCAAATCTTTTGCCTGTCTCAAGGATTCAAGTTCTGTCCTTGGAACATAACTACAGTAGTTTGAAATCTTGTGTTGCTGGTTATATTGACCATTAAAGAATGTTTCATAATGAGTATTTTAGGTGGTGGCGGGGATAGACAGTTATTAGACTATATTTGCATTATGCACAATAAGACGCACATCACTAAAATTGAAAACAAAGACTTCTGGTTCTATAGAGGCAAGTCTCACCAGTAACTCTGAAAACAAAACAAAAACAAAAGACCAAAGTCAGAGCAGTCACATTTTCAGATCAACTTTTACAAATAGCCATTCTGGATGTTCCTCCCCGCGCGCCCCTTTGAAAAATCTCATACAGACCTTTTTCCCAAGCACTTTAATGTGTGCTTGGGAAGCGCAATTAAATTGTCAGAATTTTAAAAAATGTTTTTAACTAGAAGATAGCCCCGAGAATAGTCATGGGGCTGATATTGATTGTCTGAACAGAGAACATTAGTCTTCAGGTATTTACTCTGCCACCTCTCCTCCAGAGGCTCTCCTTCAAATCAAATCAATTCCTTGAAGAGAAGGCTACTGAAATACATAAATGAGGCTGAGAGAGAGTTGATTTTTGCTCTCTAGGCCTTTCTATACTGTCTCGTGGTCTGCAATTGCTTTTGGATCCCCACTGCTTCTTCCAACTGTAAGCATTATCAGACTTCATTGTTTTGACTGGGATCTACTGGGGCCTTTTCACAGTGGAGGTTCAATGAAAAATCCATTGCATAATTTGGAAGCAGGACTGCAATTATATCATATTCTGTCTCAGTTACTCATTTCTATATGGTGAATAACATTATAATCCAGAATGGTTGTAGTAGTAAGACGTACAACAACTGTGGCAAAAAGTTTTTGTTTTGTTTTTGTTTTTAAAGTCGTCTCTAATGATCTCTTATTACCAGTTGCATCTACACTCTAGATTTCCAAGTGACACTGGATTTTAACAACCCACTGAAGTAAGCAGAATTTATTATTTAGAAACACCTACTCTCTCTCTCTCTCATTACAAAAGAAAATATTCCCATCAGGAAATTCCATCAAACTGAGTCATATCTCAGTGCAACTGAGACACTTGGAATTAAAGCCATGTAGTTTGCCACTGAACAAAATAGGTCTGAACTGGCTTGAATCCAATTGCTTTGACATAAATGGATTGTTGAATGGAGTGTATATAATTGAAATAGAATGCAATTAATTATTAAAAACTAACCACAGGACAGAAGAACAATTCCACTGAGAATTCAAGTGACATCCTCAAGTGCAGGAATATAGATTCAAAATCTAGCTACCTATCTCATTCAAATCATATTTGTATAAGGTTTAATGCTCATTTATTAGAAAAAAAATTCATTTACATATCAGTTCTATGTTACCCTATACTCTCTTCATGGCCTTGACCAAAAATGCCCTCTTGAAAAAAATTTCCATGCAATTTTTAAAGATCAAAGGCAAAAGAGTGCCAGTTTCATCAATCATCCTTGTTGTAGATGATTGCCAAAGCATCAGTCTGAACAGATTCTGAATTTCAAATAGTAATTTCATGCCAGTTTTCCTACACAAATCCTTGTGTACAAAGCTTTAGAGTTAAGAAAGCTCATGGACACCGCAATCATGGAAATAGCAACAAAATCTATTTAGAAATAGGTTGCTCATGCATGCAGGGACGTGGTGGCGCTGCAGGTTAAACCACAGAAGCTTCTGTGCTGTAATGTCTGTAGATCTTCAGCTGTAAGATCAAATCCACGTGAGGGAGTGAGCGCCTGTCACTTGTCCCAGCTCCCACCAACTTAGCGATTCAAAAGCATGCAAATGTGAGTAGATTAATAGGGACCACCTCGGTGGGAAGGTAACAGTGTTCCATGTCTAAGTCGCACTGGCCATGTGACCATGGAAGATTGTCTTCGGACAAATGCTGGCTCTATGGCTTGGAAAAGGGGATGAGCACTACCCCCTAGAGTCGAACACGACTGGACAAAAATTGTCAAGGGGAACCTTTGCCTTTACCTTTACCTGCTCATGCATTCTATACACTTACAGGAACTGTAGAAAGAAATAGCTTAATTACTTTCATTACTGAAAAATAATTAAGCACTGAGATCCTTCAGTTTCAGGCCATATTACAGTGCAAATGCAGTATATAGTTGGACAGTGGTTAAACTGCAGTAGTGCAGTCTAGCCTCTGTTCATGACCCGATTTCAGTCTTGACAGGTTCAGGTAGCTGGTTCAAGGTTGACTTAGGCTTCCATGGGTACCCAGCTCATTGGGGGAGGATGCTATTTGCATAATTATGCTGTAAACCACCCAGAGAGTGTTTAGTACTATGGGATGGCATGTAGGTCAAAACAACAACAATGTGCTGGGTGAGGTCAGAATGCCAATTTGGAAAGGATTCAGTGTTCATTTAATTAAACAGTTTAAAAACTAAAAACATAACCAAGAAGGTACTTCCTTGAGAAGGTGCCTCTAATCAAGTTTGTATTTGTAACCATTATTTAAAAAAATAAGTACTTATAAAATTGCAGAAAGCAACCATCAATCGTCTTAGATTGCTCTTTCACAGTAGAGGAAGTGCACTCTAAAACATGGCATACACTTTTTTCTAGGGCCATTGTTTTTAACTCGTATGTCCATTTAATGAATAAATAAGTCAATTCAGTAAATAAAAACTCATTAAAACATTTAGCAAATATTTCTTTAACTGTACAGCAGTGCTACTATTTAGATTTGCTGGCAACCATCCACAGAACCATGTAACTGCTTCTGACGACTAAGGGTCATTTCAATTCACTTCCCAGAACATACTGGATGACAAACAATGGCTGAAACTGAATCCCAAAGACACCTTTCAAATGTAGAATGAAGATATACAATTGAAAAAAAAATGTGGGTTTTTTTAATACCCTGCTGAATGTAAGCAATGTCCCTGGGTTCATTTAAGTAGCTTGTTGGATTCAGATCTCAGCAGCATAACTGTAATATTTGTTATTCTAGTGTTGTAACAACTTAGCAAGTTGGTATTCAAGCTTACGGGAAAGGGGAGGATCAAATCTTAGGGCAGAAATATTTAACACACAAGTGTTCTTTATTTCCTTCAGTTCGAAAGACTATGTTAATATTAATAGTGGCTGTTTAGATGAAAATACAACATTGTTCAACTATTTGGTCTTCACGACATTATTCCTCAACAATTTCTGGTGTAAATTACTGAACTGAATATATTTTTACCTGTATTTCATTGACTTAATTACACATCAGTGAACACAATATACAGTTTTGTTTTGTTTTATATGTGACCTGCATCAGCCTACAAAATGTAATATATATGTTTGTAAAAACATATCTCTACTAAAATCTGCAGCATAAAAGTGCTATTTTTCTGCATACAATTATGGCAGTCAGCAGTTAAATTTGTCTTTAAAACTGTTTGAATGCTTCAAAACATCTTACTACTATTCAAGAAACCACTACAATAGTTTTCTAGACTGCACTGCAACGTAAGAATAAAGGAGGTAACTGAATATTAAAATGGGTAAAATATTAGCAGTTCTTAGAAAGATAGACTTTCCAGTTTTATTCCACACATTAACTCTAGATGAGACATTGCTGATGAAAAAACTGTGAAGAGACAGCACGTCACAGTCCAAACTTAGGAAAGAATACAAATGACAGTGTCAAGCTTTATGAAAGCTAAATATAGTGGTACAAGACAATCTGCAGTCTTGACATCCTTTGTGTAATCACAGCAGTCACAAAATCCTTTGTGTAAATGCAACACAAAAATATAAAAGGAATCCAATTAATTCTAATTAAATCTACATTCAATTTCCCTGTATCTCCATTAGCAAAAGATGAGAGTATGAAGAACCACTGTTGCATTAAGATCACTTTATTGACTCTTCTTTGTCTGGCCATTTATTCTGAAGGACTTCTGTCACATATGGCATCATAGCAGCTGACATATTAGAGACGCTGTTCTTCAGAAATGGCTTTTTAAGAATGGGTGCAAGAGGTTAAGATGTTTTGCCCAGGACAAAGTTTTCAATTTCTGCTGTTGTTCTACAGACCCACAACATATTTCTGTTTAAATTAACTGTTTAACTTTTGAGATGAACAGAGACAGTGAATTAAAATGGAAACAAGCAGGCTAGATCCGTGCACTCTGTCTCAAAAGACTAACTTCCAAAGTTATCTAATATTTTGTTATAAAGCAAAACTCCTTTCAGTTTTAAACTAATATTTGGTATTATCTGTTTGGTTTATAAGCCCACAAGAAAGCCTAAATGCATTGGGAAAACTAAATTTTTGAAATATCATGGATATATAATGACAGTGTTTGTTTAGTTCAAATTGCTTTTACAAGTTCCAAAAGGTAAAACACAGTTCTGTATTGTAAATATATTCCACATTTTCTCTGATTAGATATGATACAAATACAAATATATGAGCACATACATTTATATTCTTACAATTTACTCCTCACATCTCAGGAATATCTTGCTTTTTTCTTGCATCACTTCCTTAACTTAAAAAAAAATACCCTGAGATGTAAAAGAATTAAAGGGGTCCCTGAAAATATAGGTAAAACTATATCACTTCTAACTTGAAGCTAATTACAATAATTAGTAGAGATTTCCCTTAGGAAAATGAACCTTGCCCCATACTGCTATAACTCATATAAGGTAATCTGTCACAAACCCATATCCAGGGAATAAAGGAATATTAAACCTTTGTCTCACAGTGCTCTTAAGTTCAAACCTCAGCGTAAAGGACTTGCACAGAGCGATGCTATTAAGATACAATTAGGTCTTGAAATGCATGGGTCTGAAATGCAATGAAAAGACCTCTGAATGTGAGACCTCATATTCTCTCAGACAAATGAAGCAATATGCTTCATTGCCATGTACTGTACCTGCTGCTACTGGCAAGAAGCTGATTTTACACTGACCATGGTCTATGGCTGCTTTTAATGTCGCTTCAGGATGTGTCGATCCGAGGGGGTTACGCACAAATCGTCGCCGGCGCCGCAAGTCATCTTCCCAGTAGTCAAGGCGCCAGAACTCACGAGGACGACTACAATGAAACAGAGGAACCACATGTGTTAGCAATTATCAAACAGCATGGTAGCACTGAATTTCTGCATAAAGCTTTCCTTGTTTCCTCTTTCTTTTTCTTTTTAAATAGCACCCTAAACCACTTTCTGCAATCTTTAACTTAGGTATGTCCTTGAAAATAACAATATCACCTTCCAGTCTGAGGAACTCCTTTCCCTTTTTTTTTCTTGGAAGGTGAAATGAGCACTAAATACATCATTTTGAAATGAATTGCTGACAGTGTGATCAGTTTCCCCACACTCTAGTGGCATGTGCTCCGATTTCAGCCTCATTTCAGCCTCAGCAGGGCACCTTTCTCAGTGACTGCATTTATAAACCAGAATAGGGAAAAGGCTATTATAAATATGGTATAGCATTACCTATATTAATCAAAGTCTGTCCCTCTTCATTTTTCTTCCTAATTTGTTCCTTTTTGCACAAGGTCAGTAAATCATACCACAAATTCTTGGTCAAGAAAGTGTTAACTTTAATGAATACTTCTGTTACATGATTATGTATGTGATAATAAAATATTACTCTGTTTAGATGTGCTGGAATTTAATTAAAATAATCTCTTAAAATATTCATTACATTTCACCCCTGAGGCTTAGACCAACATAAGAAAATACATTTCATTTCCATTTCCTGTTTTTAAATAAACCATTCCAGGAGAGTGAAATAACAATCTATTTTCAAACAAATCAGATTGGATTTCTGTTTTATGTAGCTGCATTTTTGCATTTAATTAAGGGCTGCAGGTTATGGTATACACACTTTTTTAACATTTAAATTTAGGAAAAGGCTCCCTCGCTTTTATTATTTTCCACATTGTTTTATTCAAATATGCATAGATCTTTTTAATATGGCTATATATAAACGCCAGCCTCTATCTTGTTAGATGATCATGAGTGAGGGTGCTGTAAAACTGCATATTAACCATTAAAAAACCTGAAAAAGCAGCCAATTTGAGTACACATTCATACCTTGATATGTAAATAAATTTTATTATATGGAAACTAATAAAGCCTACAAAAATTACAGTGTGACTAGATATCTGCAACCAGGATAGCTTCATGTGCTACTTATAAAAGCACGGTGACTCCAACAATAGTAGGTGAAAATGATGAACTATAATTTAATTCCTTTCTCCTCAGCTAATAATCATTGCATATCTGTCAGTTATGACAAATTAAGTTTTGATTAATTTATACACTACAAATACTTATAAACACACAATATTAGTGGCTCCTTTCTTAAAGGATTTACTTTTGGAACAATGTTCGTTATTAGAGAGCAAATTAACAACATGCTTAGTATACCACTCTACTTTTTTGGTCTTGTTTTTAAATCCATGTTAGATAATAAAACCTTGTATGAAAATGGTTAAAATTTGAATTTTCATTAATAAATCTGACTGAGGCATTAATTCTTGAAGTTACTTCATCCTTTTCTACCTGCGACTGCTGCTATTCTGTAATCTTTTAATACTGTTTCTAATGTAAATAACCACATTTTTATTATCCATGCACCATGTATTCTAAAAACAAATATAGGGTTAACAGACTTTATTTTGCAAATAATTCTTTAGGATTCTTGTGGGACAGTTATATGTATAAGAAGCAGCTACATTTGCTCAAAGCATGATTAATAACTTAAAATTCTCCATTAGAGATTACAAAAAAGGCAGAAAACAGCTGTCTATGTGTATGCATTTGATAGTCATGGAGCATGGATAGCCACTTCATCATTCTGCCTTCCTTCATTTATCTGTTAAAATCACTATCAAATATCAACTAGAACTGAATCGTGAATCACAAACTGCTCTGCATCTTTAGGGGAATGATACAATGAGAGTCTATTCATCAGTATGGCAATCGGCACAAGTAATTAGTTCCCTAGACTGTATTGCAAAGCTTATTGTATCCAGTGCCACAAACATATGACAATGAAAAAGCTAATGGAAGCTTCTAAAATTTGTTAACTGCTTTTGCCATCCATCCTGCCAGTACTCTGCACTACAGTATTATGTAAAGATGGTACATTATTAATGTCATCCATTTGTCTTTCTGCACTTTTGATGAAATTAAGTGATGCCATTCTTGTGGCTAAAATTACAACATGCAAGGCAATAATGTTAATGTTAGTAAAATTAGACAAAATGGAGGAGCAAGTCACAAAAGAATGTGGGGAGGTGGGGTGAAAATAACTTTCTAATGGTGTCTCTTTTCTTTCCAAGTTCACTGCCATATGCCTTGCATTTGCCTTGATTAGTCAGTGTATAATGACACAAAAGCACAGGATGTGTTTGAGGACATTTGCATCAGGAGGAAAATCTGTTTCTCGACACAGGGTTTCAGTATTGTATGAATAAAAATGCAGACTTTCATTTTCAAAATTTATTAGATGTCAAAACATGCATACTGTGAATTCACTGGCAGGCTAGCTATTGTTCTGAAAAGGAAATCTATTTTTTAAAGGAAAACTACAAGAGACAAACTCTACATCTTTTTACTGTATTTGTAGCTATATGGAGATACATACTCTCTCTTTTTTTCCAGCTCTGTGAGCCACAACAGAATTAAACCTGTATTGTTCAACTGAATGTGATGCATTAAAATCAAAAGTGCTCAAGTATGTTAGTGTTAGACAATGATATTGCCCTCTACTCAGCTGAAGGTGTGGCTATAAACCCTTTTTTCAAATTTTGACAAAGCTATTACATTTACCAAAATATTACCAAAAGTGGATCAGATATTCAGATACAAGATACTGACAGGGCTAATGTATTGTTATTAATAAGTCTGAAGTTCCCCAATGCTAAGTACATTCCAATACAGCAATGGCCAATGCCTGGCAGAATCTGTCAACTACAGGTGACTTGTCATTCACCTGCGCCTTCCATCTATGTTTACAGCTAGTGAAGACAAAATACTGAGTAAGCCAAGGCAAAATGCTCTGCAGTTTTACAGGCGTAGGCAAGAATACAGAGGTGCCACCACTGAAAGCATCCCCTGTCCTCTCTTTACAGAGACCGACAAGAGATCACACAGGCTGCATTTGACCTGCCTGCACACATACAGTACTTATTTCTACAAGGAGGAGGCAAAGCATTTTAATAACTTATTTACCAATATCATCTCCCATCTACTTTTCATTTAACTGTGCCATTATACTCAGATCAGACCTAACTCAACATTTCTGATGCCCTGCTTGTTAAGCTGAAGCAGGGCACACAAGAGTGCACAAGCACAAAATAGGGGGAGCCACTTGCTTCCAAGAAGGTAGGGGAAAATTCTAGAAGGAAGACAGTGACTAGACATTTATCAGAGACAAGAAAGGGTAGGGTGTTATTCAAGACAGAGTGTGAGCTATGACAGAGACAGAAATTGGATCAATACTTCTGCATTTAGTCTAATATAGTGTTTATTTATTTAGGAATGCATACCTCACCCCTCTAACGTTACTATTCCATGGCTGTTTACTCATATAAAACAAATCAACACCACCACTTTCAACAACAAATCAAAATCTGTTGGGTTGAATAGAGAAAGGTTGGAAGAGAACATTGCTTGTAAAATTGAATGTTCATCCTCCTCCTTTCATGACAGCTCCTTGTCCCCCGGCTATCCCAGGGGTTGTGATATTTTCCTGGAGTGGAATGTGATGGGGCATGGATGGCTGAGGGAAGAAGAAAATGTGGGAGAAATGGGTGTGGTTGTGAAGTGCAAAAGAAAATCCATGTATGTCTGTAAAAGACATCTCTGAACCAAAGCCAACAAAAACAGTGAAACAATGAATGTACAACAGAAGCAAAGTTGAAATCAGCTCAAGAAATATTTATAATCGATCCTTAGAAAATAAGGAAATGTTAATTATTATTGAAAAGACAGAGCAATGGGAGTCAGTTGTTTCTGATAAGAGAGAACAACACAGAGATAAAACTCAGTTAATGGTGCCTTTTGTGTAGCCACCATTTGTACTGGAGAGCAGGGATTCTCAGGGAAGTGATCCAAAAATAACTTTGGATAGATCCTTGTGGGAGTAGGCCGTCCTGACATCTGGCTTACTGCCAAATGTAGCTGCTGATAATACACATTAATTTGCATAGATTCACGTTCCTGATTTTGGAACACTGAAGTTGCTCTCTCTCTTATTATATGTGCGAATATAAGAGAGAGAGCAACTTCAGTGTTCCAAAATGGTTAGATAAAGCAGTATGCAAATTATGTGATAGCTGAAAATTTATCACTAGTAACTCATACAATACTGAAATAATAGTTTCTTGTGGAATTAGTTTTCATTAAAATACCAGAAAGTGACAACTGCTGTAGCACTCCAGGGGGAAAATGGAATGTATGAGAATGGACAACAAAAATACAGCTTTCACAGTTTAGGTTCTATGCATTAGGCCACCATTTATTTAGAGTCATGCAAAACATCTAAAAGCAATCCCCAATGTTATGGCTTTCATGAGGAGTGATCCAAACAAATATTTCATGGAAGTCAGTATAGGCTTAAAAGGAGTCATTTTTCTGCTATAAAAGTAGTTTAAAGGGAAGGAAAGAAGGAAAGAAGGAAAGAAGGAAAGAAGGAAAGAAAGAAAGAAAGAAAGAAAGAAAGAAAGAAAGAAAGAAAGAAAGAAAGAAAGAAAACTAGTTATCTACATGAAGGGTAATTTTGCAAAATAGAAAACCAGACAGAAAGTACAGTGCAGTAGCTTTAATAAACCACATGCTGTAATGAAAACAGGAGACCAGTCTGGAGCTCATTTCACAAGATGCCTGTTCAAAAGAAAAACATCTCTTGTTTCCTAGGCTGGAGGTTAAATACATCATGCAGGTAAAATGTTTGCTTATGCCTGGTCATGAGTGTAAGTTTTGTGCCACTGAGGAAAGTGCCTGACTGACAGTTTTAGAAGCTTAGACTATTAATTATCCTCATAACATATTCAGTTATGGGGAACACCCAATAGGCGCTCTT